CACACACACACACACACACACACACACACACACACACACACACACACACACGACACACACACGCACACACACACACACACACACCACACAAACACACACACGCACGCACACACAAACACACACACACACACACACACGCACACAAACACACACACACACACGCACACAAACACACGCACGCACACACACACACACACACACGCACACACACACACACACACACACACACACACACACACACACACACACACACACACACACACACACACACACACACACACACACACACACACACACACACACACACACACACACACACACACACACACACACACACCACACACACACACACACACACACACACACACACACACACACACACACACACACACACACACACACACACACACACACACACACACACACACACACACACTCATACTGTTTACCTAATTGACAGATAGGCCTATATAGATAGAAATGAAACCCAGCCATCAGGGAAAACATTAAAAACCGTCACGTTTCGAGTAGACCTGACCTCCTCATCAGATAACACCAAAATCCATCCCCTTTGTATCTTCGGATGAGGAGTCAAGTTCCACCCGAAACGTCATGAACTGTCTGCCTTATTATTGCCATTTGAATTTCTCCCATCATTATCCGCTCTCTAATTATTCCTTTTTCCTTCCATTCCCTCTCCTTCCTCCGCGTCAGACCCCCTTCGTCAGGCATGGGGTCCGCCGGCTCGGTGCACGCGGGGGCGCCCCTGGGACCCCTCGCCTCCGCCCGGGGTCGCCAGAGGAACAGTGTGGCGGTGGTGGACTCGCGCGAGCACATCTACGAGGACCTGGACCTGTGCCGGGGTCCTCCCAAACTGGCGCCCGTCTCTGGGGTCCTGCCGCAGGTGAGTGTTGGGTGAGGGGTGTGTTGTGGGGTGAGGGGGTAGGGGGTTGGGGGAAGATAGGTTAGGTGTAGCAGGTGAGTGTGGGACGGGGTGTGGGGTGTGTGGGGAAGATAGGTTAGGTAGTAGGTGAGTGTGGGGAATGAGGTGTGGGGGAGGATAGGTTGAGGGAGGGGTGTAGGGGTGGGGGTGTGGGGAGGGGAGATAGGTTAGTGTGGGGGTGAGGGGGGGGGAGGGTGGGAGGGTGGGGTTTGATGGGTGTGTGTGGGAGTGTTGTGTGTGTGTGTGTGTGTGTGTGTGTGTGTGTGTGTGTGTGTGGTGTGTGTGTGTGTGTGTGTGTTGTGTTGTGTGTGTGTGTGTGTGTGTGTGTGTGTGTGTGTGTGTGTGTGGTGTGTGTGTGTGTGTGTGTGTGTGTGTGTAGTTGGTGTGTGTGTGCGTGTGGTGTGCGTGTGTGTGTGTGTGTGTGTGTATACGTGTGTGGTGTTTGAGTGTGTGTGTGTGTGTGTGTGTGAATGTGTGTGCGTGTGTGTATGTGTGTGTGTGTGTGTGTGGTGTGTGTGTGTGTGTGTGTGTGTGTATACGTGTGTGCGTAGTTGAGAGTGTGTGTATGTATGTGTGTGTGTGTGTGTGTGTGTGTGTGTGTGTGTGTGTGTGTGTGTGTGTGTGTGTGTGCGTAAGTGTGTGAAATCGTAAATACATATTGTTGCAAACATGACAGTAGTTTTAAGTGAACATAAAAAATGGGTTAGCGAGAACAGTTTAGCATAGTGTCCCCGCAAAATGAATAAAGAAAATGAAACGCGACTAGTTTTCTGTGTACAATTTCATGGTAAACTTAATTAAAACTAGAAATACGTCTCTTAAAATGTTTATTTTGTCCTTTCAGTAAATACTAGTTGTACTACACAAAAACGTTTAGTTATATATATTCATAAGTATTTTATATAAAATAGACACTATTTTTGGATAGACGTGTATAATAAAAGTGACAGTAGAAAAGTGAGAGTAAATTTAGTTGGTAACACTTAATTTAATATGTTTCTCTGTATATTTTATTATTGCGGTGGTTATATGTATTTTTCTTTTCAGGTATGTTATCCAGTTTATGTTATTATTGCTGTACTACCCCAAGGTAAATAATCTGTGTAGTTGAAAAGTGTGGGTATTTAATTGTGTACCATTTAGGTAAACTTACAATTTTAAACTCTTACGTCTCTTAAAATGTTTCCTTTCAGTAAATACTAGTTATACTCACAAAAACGTTTAGTTATTTATATCCATAAGTATTTTATATAAATAGACACTATTTTGCATAGACGTGTATAATAAAAGGACAGTAGAAAAGTGAGAGTAAATTTAGTTGGTAACACTTAATTTAATATGTTTCTCTGTATATTTTATTATTGCGGTGGTTATATGTATTTTTTTTCAGTATGTTATCAGTTTATGTTATTATTGCTGTACTACCCAGGTAAAGTTATAATTATTGTAACTTCGTAGTTTAAAGTGTGGGTATTTTACGGTATTTATTAGATTGCCCATGACTTACCTGACATTTTCGTTCGTTTGATGTTAATTGGGTATTTTTTTGAAAACTCT